GCAGGAAGCTACAGGCAGCTATTCTGTCTTTTCAAACATGTTTCTTCCTTTTCACATCCAGTGAAATATCCTGCCTTTTCAATATTTCCTAGGATATTTCATTTTTCTGGGAGAGGGCTGGGTGATAACTTCCTACAGGTGGAACCAGAGTTTCTGCTTCCTCCTTCCACAGAAGTTAACAATGAAGTATCCAAAGGCAACACTTGTTATTATTTTTCCTCTGTTTTTTTTCTATTTAAGGCAATCTCCCCCTTTCTTAAGTTTTCCTAATCTTACAAGTTCCCCTTAAAAAAAAAATAAGTAAAGCAACAGCTCCACCTAGGAGTAGAGAAACAATCTCCCTGTATCTTTCCAGCTCATATTATATTGTAAATGAACTCTTAGGCACTCAAAATGAAACCATGGAGACAGCTGGTCTATAAATACATCCCTCTGGGAAGCTGTAGCTATTTGTTGAGTGGAAACTTAACAAGAGTTGGGTGGGTAGGGAGCTCAAAGGGACAAGCCCAAATTCTGTTTATTACCCAATAAGTATCCCTATTCTTCCCATTCCACAATAATCATAAAACAGAGGTCTTCCAAATTCACTATTTCTACCTTGCTTTATATTTTCACTAAGTCTCCGTTTCATGAAGCCAACACAAAGGAAAGGAGGAAACTCAAAACGTTGCATTTATTTAAAGCACTTACATACTGTATTGTCTTCCACTTGTTCAGCGCCAGATGACTTACTAAAATAAAAATAATGATACAAAAATGAAGCCTCCGTATTGTTGAATGAAGAGGAGCAGAGAAAAATCAAACAGTGCTAGCGGGAAACACATTTCTATCATGAGCAGTTTTATTTTTAAAGCCTATTAAATATAGTGTATTCATCACAGAAGAAACATTAAAAATAGATCCCAATTTTTAGAATGAGATTTACCTTTCGTTTTGCATAATAGACATGATGTGCCGTTTTCTTTAATATTTTGAAAAATATCCAATAGTGAAATTTTGGTAATACTTCAGTGAAGCTTAATTGCCCATTAGTTTTTAAATTAGTTAAACAATCACCTACCATTTAGACTGCCAGCATCTCTAATTTTATCCTCCAACTTCTATGGAAGACAGTATTTGATGGAAAGAATAAATTGGGCTCTAAGGATGAAATTAGCTTCTGCTTCTCAAATCTTGATCTTATTTTTTTTCCCTTTCAGACAGACCTTTTCCCAGTTTGCAAGGACAGAATGTATTCACAGAATGGAAATCCTTGAGTATTGTCGGTTACTGGGCTGTCCCCAAGCTTACATCCCTCCTTTCCAGGTAAGAACAAGCCAATTAAAAAGGTCCAAATGTTCACAGGCCTTTATAATAAAAATATTTCCTTGAGTGAGGGCATCTTTTTTTTAAAAAAAA